AATAATTATAATTATAATAATAAAAAGCATCTGGAACCAGCTCAGAAGATTTCTAATGCTTTTCAGCTTGACTGACTTGGAGTGCATTGACCACACCATTTATATTTTCTTCAGGTACCTGGAAGAAAACAGAAAGAAAGGTCATGCTCTAACAACAGCCAGGCAGGGACGACAAGGAAAGGAGAGGCAGGAGATGAAGCCAGAACAGTCCCAAGGAGGCAGGTGCTCTGCTGTCGGACACCTGAACTCCGCTGAGGAAGGACTCCATCTGCACGAGACACCCTCCATTTCAAAAGCGTTAATCCACAGCACCCGTGGCACCAAGGGGAGGTGGGGTCTGGCTGGTTTGCTGTCTGGGGGGTTAGGGGAAGGAACTGCTTTAGGGATCTCCTTTCCTTCTCCTCTTCCTCTGCCCTCCTTGGGTTGGTGACGCACCTGTACGCCAGGAGCTCACTCATGCAAGGTTCCTGATGGACTGATGCGGCTGCCTGGGGTATCCTGCAGGTTTGGGACCCGTAAGTGTGGGTGGGGGGACGTGCTGGGTGACAGGGGAACATGTCCATCAAAAGAAGAGAACTGCCAGTCTGCTTGTGGCCCAGGGTTCCAGATGGTGCAGAGCAGCACCTGAGCTTTCTTGTCCGCTCTTGTGATGAGACTTAACCACACAAGTCCAGGCACAAAGTGATCAGTGGGTGTCTTCTTGCACTTACTGCAAGAAAAAACCCTTGTAACAGAAGATGCAAAAGATCACAGCGCGGCTGTCATCGGTAGAAAAGAACCTCACAAGTAAAGTTACATGAGACAGGAAAGAGGCATCTGACCGTTAGATAAACCCAGAGATGACACTCAGGGGACAGGCAGCTAAGAGCTCCTGGAAAGTGGACTGAGGAAAAAATCAATGATCTGTGAGCTGCTGCAAGAAGCCAAAAATAACTCACATTAAGTAAGCTGAGGAAGAAACTGTCTTCTTTGTGAGGAATTTGAGTCCTAGGCCAGGAGTACAATACCTGGATTCACTGGACACCCTCCAGAGCTCAGACACTGGAAATACAACTGGACTGTGATTTTCTGCAGGGCTTTTAACACAATTGAGGAAAAAACCCATGAGAAATAACAAGAAAATTGTTCAATTTCCCAATGGGAAGATGGAATAGGAGTGGCTACCTCTGACGATGTGTGAATGAAAGCCTCTCTACCCCTTAGAAAAAACCCCACGGCAGGGCAGCTGGTGCTGTTCACTTGTCAGCATCTACCACGAAGGGAAAAGCAAAGCTCCGAACTGCATCCCAGACACAGCTTCAGCCTCATGGCATGCAAAATGCTGGTGAAGAAGAGCAAGATACCTCTGAGCATCGGGCAGCGAGAGCAGAGCACCTGGAAAAGGGACTCTTCTGCCTTGTTCTCTCTAGAGGGAGCTGGAAACCAGGGCTCTCTCCAGCCCGACCTTATGTCACCCTGGGGACACACCAGAGACCTGGAGTTCCCATCTCAGCACTGTCTCCTAAAGGGATTTCTCCTCAAGCACAGGTCCTGATCTCCTGGGCTAACTTACAGCTACAGCACTGCAGGAAGACCTTAGTACTAATACCCAGGTCAAATACATAATTAAGCAACAAAATTCACTTCAAGATGCACCGGAGAAGAAAGATCAGGTCAAAGGGAACCACAAGCTTTTATAAGCCACTCCAAATTATTGACAGCAAGTACCGAACAACCTCAAATAAAGAAAGGGAGGACGTGGAGAAAGGATCCAAGATGCACTGAAGACCTTGAGAAATGTCACTGGAAGTCAAGGTGTTGGGGCAGCAGAGTTAGGGAAAGCATGATGAAATCTAGGTCGGAGTCTGGGCCAACAAAACCAACCCAGAACCAGCACACAGCGCAGCCCCCGAGCCTGGGGCAAGGTCAAGCCAAGGAAGGCTTGAAATGCACCTTCCACAGGGTGGAAGGATTTGGCAGCTGGAATAGCACCATCCAGATGAAAAAGCTTTTAAAATCCTGCAAAAAGAAAAGTGCAAGCAGCGAGGAAAATGCTAAAATACTGATTTGAGTAATGAAGACGTGCAGACCTTAGCCCAAACAATCCCCTCGGAGGCACAGACCCACCAGGCTCAGATGTAGCAGGATGAGACACTTTTAAAAGGCGGAGCTGCCTGCAAAGTCATCACAATTGCACAGCACACGTTTTAACCGAAAGGCCTATTTTAATCGTTGGGGCTCAGCTCTCCAGATGTTGCTTGACAACTAGAAGCACTCTGCACCTTGTGCTCCACGCAGAACGCCTGCACCTGGGGCCACCACAACCGGGAGGAATGTGAGGCAAAGCTAACAGTATTGATTTTAAAATGGTGTTTTATTAGCTTATCTTATCAGCACAGTTAATATTAAAGAAAATAAGACAAACATACATAACACTTTGACCTTTGCTATCTGGAATAATATTTACTTTTACTCTTTACACACATGACCTACAGGCTGCAAATGGTTCACACCAACTGTGAAAAACCAAAGTGATTAGCTGGAAAATAGCTGCCTTGAACTCACTGGAGCTTTTACAGATCAAAAGTAGGGCCTGAGCAGTGTATTTACAGTGACGAAAGGAGAAGTATAGTGCATTTAAGAAAAAAAACCAACACAAAAAGCACAAAGCAGCTAAGTTTTGTCAGCTTTGTTAGCCCATGGGCTACTGACTCCTTCCCTCAGGACTTGGGGAACGGGCTCCAAGTCAAATGCTGTCCCGTGTGCGGCTTTGAGCATAAGTTTTCCCTTCTCACAGAAATTCCTCAGTTGTGAGGGTGACTTATACAGCCAAGTGAAGAGAAAGGTCCGCCTAGAAGGCAAAATATCTGAGACAAGGCAGGGACAGTAGAGCTCATCGGGACTTCCAGCTGGGTCACAATAAGCCAAGGTTACGGCCACGCAGGTACCAAGGGATGAAGGCAGGGGCCTGCTATCGGGACACTCTCCAAAACGCTTCTTCCCCCACACAAAGAGAACCTCCTCATAGTCTGAAGGCTCCGACTACATTTGCAGGAAAACAGAGATGGTTTGTGGCTGTTTCCCATAAAAGATAGTGACAGGGTGGAAGAGCCTGCTTAGGGAGGTCGTGAGATCTTTGTCGCTGCAGGTCTTTAAGGACTGAGGCCAGCTTTTTGTAAGAATTACACTCCAAAAAGTGGCTTTGTCTTGGGGTAAGGCTGAGCTTCTGACCCAGAGCAGTGACAGCCAGGAGGCTGGAGTGAGGTATGTGCTGGCCTAGGTCAGAGCAAAGGCACTCCCATGAACTCTCCAGATGGGAAACTACATTCTCATCCTGAGTTTTCTCCCGGGGAAAAGATCTCCCCTATTCCAGAGAAGCTGTCCTGATACTCACCAATGCGTGATCAAACTTAAAAGTACTGATGTAGTAGGCTGGGATGTCGGCTGCGGCCAAAGGCTCAGAAATCTGAGCGACAATTCCACACTCATCTGTGGGGGAGATGAAAAAATCGATCACTGTCTGAATGACACCCATCGGTCTCACAGAACTCCCGGTCTCACCAGCTCGACACCTATCCAGGGAGGAGTTTTGTCTTCACAAACTCCAATCAGAAGGGATCTCTGTAGTAAAATGTGTTCTTCTCACAGAATCAGGCTCTTCGGGCCACCACGATACATTGCATATTTGATTTTATTGCCTTCTTTTTGTTACAAAGAAATGTAAACGCCCTAAAGGCACAAAACAGCCGGAAGGATTTTCAGAGGTCCAAAGAAAGGCAATTAATGACGTTCAGGAAGGAAGCACCAAAACCATTCTCAACCCTTTACATCCATTCTTCTCTTTAGCTGTTGCTTTTAAACACTTTGCCCTGCCTCTCTGACAGAGGAGATGCTGACCCGCTGGTTGGCCTTGACATGTGGTTCCTAGACCACAGCCCACCAGAGCCCCTGAGACAGGATTCCACACCAGTTCAACTGGTTCACCTGTCCTGTTCATGGCTGAGCAACGGTATGTTGGTTCCAGATGAAATCTGGGTTTCACTGATCCAAACTGAAAACAAATTAAAGCTAACGCATTTAAACATTGCATATATGACACATGACATGCCATTTCTACAGATTTTGCCTCTAAGGTGTGTGAAAATTTCCTTCTCGCTACTTTTGGTTGTCTGGTGTAGAAGTTGCAATTAAATATAAAAATTCGCCAAGCATTTTTCAGAAATGTTCCTCGGGCCTGTGTTTTGTAACTCTTTCCGAGACCATGGGAAGCAGCCTTTGTTGTAGTATTCGGATTGGACACCTTAAAACTACAGGCAACATAAAAATAACAAAACCACTGCTGCAGACACGAAGCATTTCCTCTGGGCTACTTGGGTCCAACATTCTTTTGAGTCGAGAAAATGACTGCAGCCTGGCTGTAAACCAGTCCATGAACAGGACTCCCACTTGGACTGCTATAAATCCGCGCTGAATTTACTAAAGCCACGGAGTTGCCCAAGGACTGGAGTATGACCGTGCCTTCTGATTTCAGTAATCTACAATGGATTGCCATGCCATCTTTTTTCCCCCTTTTCCCCTTTAAACAGAGACCCAGCTGCAGCTCCCTCCAAAGTCCAGCAGATGAACGCAATTTAGATGGAGCTGTCAAGCCTGTAGCACTTCCAGAGGTATATTTAGAAGCCTGACTTATTAGGTAGGAGTTAGACTCCTCCCGTTTGAAAACCTCAGCTTGCAAAGTCATGTTAGGCTGCTGGCTCTTAAAAAGCCTCAGCCTCAAATGGATTTTTCCATCATCCTTGAAGGCCCTGCCCGAGGCAACTGACTCCCTGTGCACCAACTGATCCCCCAAATGTTCACCTACCAAAGCCAAGAGGCTGCCCACCAATCCGCACCATCTTCCAGAGTTCGCCAGATGCACTTGTAAACAACAAATTATTAGGAAATCTGTAAAAACAAAGGAACACCAAACGTGGCAATTAAAACACAGCGGTGTGTCAGATTCTGCCGGCGGGGATGCTGCTGCTCCTGTATTCGAGTGCTGCTCGAAGCCAATAACAGCAGCGGCAGCGTCTCCGTGCAACTGAGAAAACTCAAGGCAGGCAGGACAGATGCACCTGCCTGCCCCTCCAGATGTCCTATGGTAAATCAGCAGCTGATGCTGGAGGGATGCCCAGGCACCCAGAGTGCCATGGAAAAAGATTTCGAAGAAACAGGCCATGCCTCAGCTTTACAAACGTCAAGACTGTTAACCTGCAGGCTTGATTTGAACCACATTCAGAAACACCTAGGGACAGAGCGTGCTTCCATACCTGCTCTCTTAGGGACGTGAATGGTGACCACTGCTTTTCTCTCTGAGCATCGTCAGTGCTTCCTTCCACACCATCCCTGGGATCCCTGCAGAGATCCCCATTTCTTAGCAGGGCAAAGATGACCAGGGGCTAAGAGACTTGCCCAAGGTCAAGCAGGCAGTCCGTGACAGCACCAGGCTGCCACTCCAACTTTCTAGCCTCTCTTGAAGGCAGACAGAGGTTTAGTCCAATTACGGTCAAAGAAACTTTCAAGGGGGCAATTAATAGTTTGCAAAACGAGTCCCCAGGGCAGGCGAGAATCAAACCCTGCACCGTGAGTCAAAAGTGAATCTACGCATCCCATCTCCGTGCAGCATCCTGCCCAGCCTCCAGACCTCAGGGACTTCTGCGATGCACAGCTGCAGAAGCACACACACAAAAAAGAGGCTGATGGCTGCTCCCCAGCTGACTCTCTCCTTGCCAGACAAACGAGTCCTGGGTTCCTGCTGCACAGGGATGACTCAGGACATTATCATCACACCGAGACTCCGCACCACAGAGTGCCATGAGCAACACCAGCGCGGCAGGACAGCATCACTGACGTCCCCACCCTACTTTTGGCCTTTAGCAGCAAAACCTCAACCACGCACACCAGAGGGTTTTGGGTTTTGCTCTTAAAAGCAATAGAATAAAAACGTCAAAGTCACTTTGTTCCAGTATTCCTCTTTCGACAGTGAGACAAGCCTACATTACACTGGCTTGTGATTTCACTGAGGGCTTGGACAGATAGGCCAAAAATTCTGAAACTGGAACTAGCCTGTCAGACTTCACTCAGGAAAGTGACAGTGTGTAGAGGCACAGGACACCCACACACCAACTAACTAATATGGAGGAAAATAAGCTGCTTCTTGCTTCTTTGAGAATGTCCTGAGTGCTTTTTTGAGGTTCAGGAGACTCTAAGACCAAAGCTCACCTCTGCTGTGTCTGGACATCCATGACCAAGGAGATGTAACCCTCAATGAGAGAAAAGGAGAAAAAGCGAATATGTCCAGAGTCTTCGTTGCCCACCACCGAGTCTTTTACTCTGAAGAAACAGAAGAGAACAGCATTACCTGTGGCTAGAAGTGCAAAGGAAAGCTTTTTAAGCAGATATAGCCTGTGAAACCAGAAATGTTCACACACTGACTCAGGGAAGGGACGCTCAGTCCTGTCACACTGCACTGCTTTTCATTTTTTTGATTTTACAGAGGAAAAGAATGCCAGTCCCCACAACCAACAAAGCTCCCATCCCTGCCCTAAGGTCCTCCTGCAGGAGGCTGCAGGTCAGGAGCCATGGGCACTGGGCAGTTCAGCTTTCCAAAGTCAGTGGATGTCTTTGGGCACCCTCAAATCTCCTGTTTGGCTTCCACCCCCTTGACAACTCCCTTAAGCCTGTGAAACCTCCCTCCCGAAGCGCAGAGCTCTGCAGCAGCGTAAGGCCACAGCAGATCCCTGGGCATCCTGGGGTGTGAGTTTGCGTCACCCCTGCCCCAGGAGGCTGTCTCCCCGCCAGGACCTACCCATTGGAGTAAAACATGACATCCATGAGGAGTGTAGCAACAGTGGGAAGGGTATCTGGGTCCAGGCTGGTGACGCAGAACATATTACTCGGACTGGAAAGGGGATGAATGACAGGCCTCTGAACTGAAAGAGACACACACAGACACACACAACGATGAAGCCACGTCTGCAGCAGGTTCACGTCCCACCAGACGTGTTATCCACACATCTGCAGTGGCCGCAGAGAAAACTGACGGTGTTTGTACGGAAGCTCCTCGTTGTCAAAGCCCTGCTGGCTCTCACACAGGGACCGCGGAGCCTGGGGAGAACCCACTCCTGCGGTGAGATCACCCCGGCACCCTGCCCTGCTCAGCTCTGCTCCTAGGGACTGGCAGGCCATCAGGTGCATCCACATGAGACAAGGGGCAGGCTAAAAGAGGTGCCAACACACGCTGAAAAGCAGAAACAAATTCAGGTTTCCACCATCTGAAAGGCAGGGCTATGGAAGGCACTTCTCTGGCTGTGGTTGCTGGCAGTACACATATACTCTTTTCCCTCCTTCCTGGGGGCCTATTTTGCTATAATATCTACAAAAATTAAAATCCAGCTGCCATGCAGCAGCTTGGCAAACACATTGCAGCTCACGGCTGAGAAGCAGCCGGTGTTTAGGCAGGCAGCTATTAAACAGAGCAGCACAGCAAACTGCATACCTGTGCATAACCAACATGGGTGTCACTGTGCCCTCCCTTTACGCTTTTTGTTTAAGGCTCATTTTCTTAAACAAGATTGTCTATAGCTATCAAGTGACAAGACTGAGTGGCACCTCATAATAACTGATCCGTGTTTTGTTTGGTTATGGGCCCAAAATTACACACAGGCGTGTAGGTAAACATCTGTATTTAAATACATACGTCTCCTGATTGTGCCCTTTGCTTGATGTTTGTTCTTCTAGACTAGAAACATCCTAAGGTTCTGTGCAGTCCTGGGCTAATTGTGGCCTCGACCCTGACTGGTATTGAAGTGTGAAAGTTGAACAACAGTGTTCTCTGTGCATCAATCACTGCAATACTTAAACAAGCTCTTCGTTATAGAAAATTTGCCTTTGAAATGTTGGAACATGGAAATATGGGCTACAGATGACGTTATTTTTGCAGTTGAAACGAACTATACTTTAACCGTCTGTCCTACAATAGGCACGTCTCCTCTAGAGATGTGAAACTACCATTAAAAGGCTCAAATTCAGCAAAGCTCATGCCCACTGCTCTGAAAGTTAAGCACCTACTGAAATCCTTGGCTGAACTGGGACAGACTCACGCATGTGTTGACACAGTTTGTTATCCTACAACAGGACAACCATTCACCAGAAGGCTGAAGGAAGGCAGGAGGCAGACCTTCACCCCCACGTGCCATGGAGACCAACTCCTTGGCAAGCTGAGCCCATGCTGATCCTTACCTAGTTTTGGTTTGACAAATCCATTCGTTATCCCAAGGTCATCGGCAGCCACTGTCTCCCCATTCACTACTCTCAGGATGGTGAATTCAGCAGCCAGCGTGTGCATCACGAAGGGCAGGTCTCGCTCACGTACCTGAAGTTGACAACAGGGTTAGCTCGTGAGGGTGTGCGTGAGAAGTGGGAGCACCCTGTGGAGGGCACGAACTCTCAGGGCACAGAGCGGTGACACATCACTCCTGCAAGCGTGTAAGGATAAGGACAGTCTGGATGTGTGTCTAGAGAAGCGCATTTGGTGACAGGACTGAAAATATCAGTCGAATTAAGCACCACAGT